CTGCACCCGCCTCCCTCCGCCGGGGGCAGCGGGAAGGGCCCGGGTGGCGGCCCGCGGGGCACTGCGAACGCTGCCGGCGAGGGCGGGAAAGCGCGAGGGAGTCCGGCCTGCCTTGCGGGGAGCGCGCGCGCGCGCGCGCGCACGTATGTGTGTGTGTGCGCGTGGGAGTGTGCGTGTATGCGTGCAACAGTGTGGGAGTGGGCGTGTGTGTGTGGAAGTGGGTACGTGTGAGTGTGCTTGGGAGTGTGTGGCCATGTGCGTGCTGGCACGTCAGCCCGCGTGTGTCCTTTTGTGTTAGGTGTCCAGGTTGTAACCTAGTGGTCTAGAGGCAAAAGCAATCAGGACTTGTGACAGAGGTGATATTTTTTATTTGACCAGCTAGAGCATGGGAGTGCGCCTGTGCTTGTGCATTGACTCTGCGTGTGAGCATGTGCTTGTGTAAGGGGGAGCCCATGTTCTTATCTGAGCATGGGAGTGTGTGAGTGTGCTTGGGGGGGCTGTGCATGTGCTCACGGGAGCATGTGCTTTTGTGAGTGTTGTGCGTGTGTGCTCACGTTTGTGTGCGTCTGCTTGTGTGAACATATGTGCTTACGTGTGTGTGTGTTTTTTGTGAGCCTGTGAATATCTGCTTGTGTGTGCATGTGTACTTGCGCCTGCACATGTGAGCCTGTGCGTGTGTCCGTGTGTGTGGGAGTGTGGGCATGTGACTGTGTTTGGTCGGGTGTGCTGGGATGCGAGTACATGTCCTTGTGTGAGCATGGGAGTGTGCGTGTGTGTGCGGCTGTGCTTGTGCAGTGACCCATGCGCGTGGGCATGTGTGTGCTTGTTTGAGCGTGTGCTTGTGATTGGGGGTTGTGCCCTTGTCTGAGCATGGGAGTGTATGCCCGTGCTTGGGAGTGTGCTTGCATGAACATGTGTGTGTGTGCTTTTATGCACATGTTTTTGTGAGCCTGTGAGCACCTGCTTGTGTATGCATGTGTGCTTGTGCGTGCACGCATGCATGTGTGACCTTGTGTGTGTATGTGTGTGTGGAAGTGTGTGCATGTGAGTACATGTGTGTGTGCCAATGTGTGAGCATGTGTGCATTTGTTTCCTTGTGTGAGCATGGGAGTGTGCATGTGTTCACCTGTGCACTGTCCATGCGTGTAGGCTTATGGGTGCTCATTTGAGCATCTGCTTGTGCGAGGGGTGGTGTATCCTTGTCTGAGCGTGGGAGTGTGTGTGTGTGCTTGTGTGAGCATGTGTGCTTGGGTGCATATGTTTTTGTGAGCCTGTGAACACTTGCTTGGGTTTGCACGCACGTGTGTGTGTGTGTGGGGGTGTGTGTGTGTGTGTATGCATGTGCATGATCTGGGGTGTCTCAGCCCAATGCAGGTGTGGGGTTGTGGCAGACAGCACCCAGCAGAGGTGGGGATGCCAGGCCCTGCTACTCTGTTTGTTCCTCCCCTCTGTGGGGTGGGGTGGGGTGGGGGCAGGATGGTGTTGCTGGCAGGGTCTCTGGGCACACCTCTCCAGGGCATGTCTTTGGGCTCTGGTCCCTTCCGCCCCTTTCTCCATCGGCTGGTGCTACAAGTCAGGCAGTAGGCAGGGCAGGGTGGTACCTTAAAGTCTAACCTGTTCAGAGATGAAGGAGCTTTCATAGGCTGATATATTGTCCAGGTATTCTGGTTGCAGTTACCAAGTTGCCATATGTTTAAATGGCTGTGTTTATGGAATCAGCTGTAAGTTGTCCGGGCTCTTAAGGTGAGGGAAAGTAGTCCAGATAAATGTGCCCGCAGGAAGCAGACAAATTGGGAGCAGTGAAATGTCCCCTAAAACAGAACAGAGTCTGAGTGGTTATGCTGGGGCTGGCGTTTCAAGGCCAAAGAGCCTGGGAGAGTTGGGAACTCCAGAAGGATCCTGACACAGGAAGTTGGACAGGAGAAAAAAGAGAGGTCTGCTTTAATTTGGAGACCAGCTGAGGAAGAAGGAAAACTGGTTCAGCAGGAGAGACCTGCTCTGTGATTTGGAGTTCAAGGCCTGTACAGGAGGGGGAGATGGCGCTTCAGGGGACTCTGGCCCAAACCAAAGAAATGGTCAAGATTGGTGAGGAAATAGAGATATGGAAATGCCTGCAGATAGGCCTGTTTTATTTAGATGGGTTTTATTTTATTTCTCACACATACTAAAAGTGGAAAACCTCTAGTCCAGTGATTCACACAGGGTGTTGAGTCCACAGTTGCTGAAATCTGTGTCAGTGAACTGGAGGAAAAGCTGTTGTAGGAGCCCACACAATTCTTGGCAGCCTGAAAGTCAACTGGGAGGAGGTTTCTGCAGTGCAAGACAAACATAATGTGCCCCCGTGGGAAGACACGGGTGGCTCATGCCATGCAGAAAGTGGGTGGTGCTACAGCCTAGAAAAGCTTACACCTTCCTGAATTCATGAGTTCACAAGGTGCCATCCTGCTGTGCCCCCATATGAACAGTCAGACGAACTCCCTCTTTATAATCTGTAAGTCCTGAGAGCAACGTCCCTGTAAAACAACATTGGAGCTACACAATGTGAATCAGTGAGCAGACTGATTAGCAACTGGCAAGTTATGCTGACTGGAGTTTGTAGCCTCTAGTTGCATGTCTGCTGCATTTCTAGTTCCAGTGTCAGCCAGATGTAGGGGTCCATCTGGCTTCATAGTAAGCTACCATTTAACTTGTGCTAAAGCTATTCATACAAGGTTAGAATTCAGGGCCACACTTGGGATATACCTTGAGCTAACATGGGCAGCAAAGGTAACCCCCTGTTTATGTAAAAAGCTCAGGTCTGGCCTACAGTACAGAGTTCTGCTAGCAGAGGTGTCAGCTAAGGTGAGGTGAAATTAAAAGATCCCCTCCCCTCCCCTTCCTCCCCCCAGATAATGTATGTTTGTCAGTAGACCCTGCCTCCCTCTCTGCTGGATACAGCTCTACTAC